GTGTGTGTGTGTGTGTGTGTGTGTGTGTGTGTGTGTGTGTGTGTGTGACTTACTATGTACCCTAGGATGTCCTTGAACTTGGCTCAATCCTACCAGCCTCACCCGTGTGAGGAAATTGGGGTTCATTTGTTAATTATGGAACTTCAATTCAGAAGGAAGTTCAAGAACTATTTTATTAAAGTTTGGGAGAAAAACCATAAGCCAGGTAAGCGGTAAACCTTGGCAGCAGCCAGAAAGAGAGAGATGGAAAAAAGGAAGGAAGCCATGCTTATACTTTTTGAGTTAGTGCCCAAGCCGGGCAATGTACTGTACAGCAATGGGGGTCAGCAAACAGTGGCATGGTGGAAAGGTGGAGACTTCAGAGAAAGCCTGAGAAAGCACAGAGTGCCAAAGAAAGAAGCCGAGGCTTTGGGGAAGTATCTGAAAAAGAGGTAAAGAAACAGGAAGGAAAATTTACTCTTTTAAAGTTAAGACTCAAAAGGGGCAGACTTTACAATGCTGCATGACAGAAGTCCCATAAAGAGCTGCCTTGGGAGAGGGGTCGCCGTGAACATCTTATGTAAGCACTTGCCCTTAATAAAAGTTTAGTCAGTTCCAGTAGAAACATCACACCCATATTTAAGTGGTGTACTACTTTGCTTAGTCATTGGCTTTAAATTATCTATACATATTCGCATACACAAAATGTATAATTTTATGTATGATTAAAATGTACTCATTTAAAGAATATACTTTCAATTTGACAAATATCTATAGGCATATAACCACCATAATAAATAAAACGCAGTGTTTTCTGACAACTTCATAGCAAGTCTCTTGTTTTCGGAGTCATCTTTTCTTCATCCTTAGTCACAGTTAGACATTGGTCCTTTTTTATTACTGTGAATTGGTGCTCCTCAAACTTACCTCAGCTGTAATACCATTAATATTTTGGGAAGGTTGGGTTTTTGTGAGGAGCCAAGGTGTTGCCACATAGAATTTTAGCAGCATCTCTGGGCTCTTCTGCTTACCATATGTCAGTGAATCTTCCTTCTGCTTCCTCAGTTGAGACAACTGGAATGCCACTTGCCAAAGGCCTCCTTGGGATCAGGACTGCAGCCACTTGAGAACCACTGCTTCCTATGAGATTGTTTTTCTGGTGCTAGTATTTTACACAAATAGTAATGTGTAGGATGCATCCTCTGTACCTCTTTTCTTTTGCTCATTATAACGACTCAGGATTGATAGAGGTTGTTAGACAAATGCTCTTTGCTTTCTTTTTTGTGGAGCAGGAGGTCAGTATTTACTAATAAAGTAAACTCTGTTTAATCATTTACTTTTTATATTTCTCTAAATCTCTAAAAGTAATCATGCCTAACATTGTATCTCAGCCTTTTGTGAGTCTTCGTTCACTAATTGATTCACTTACTAGTTACAAGTCACAGTGTTCTTCTTTTTCTTCATATTTGGATGTTGAACACATTTTTAATTTTACAATGATTGCAGGTTTGTTTTTAATTTTCAAAATAATGATGGATGCTTTTTGGCAGAGAGCTACTTTTATATCAACTTGATTTTGCAAAGCAATCATCATTATTTGTGTGGGGCTGAACGTGGTGGCACATACCTGTAATTCCAGTGCTTTGGAGTCTGAGGCAGGGACATCCCAAGTACAAGTGTACAAGCCGCAGTACAAGCTTTTTTTTTTTTTTTTTTTTTTTTTTTTCCGAAACCCAGATATCTTCATCCACTGTAAGCATTGCATACAGATACAATTCTAGATGTGATAACTGTGAGATGATGGACGGTATGTGTCAGTCTTTTAAGGTAATTAACCTTAGATCATGGACCATCTGTCTACTCACCAAGACCGTTCTCTCTGTGTGCTCTCTGTGTGTGCGCATGTGTGAGAACACAATTGTTTCTCCTTACTGGAGTTTTACCTTCTGTGGCTAGTTACCCACCACCAACCAAAATCTGAAAAGATTAAGTAGGAAATTCCACAACTAAATAATAATTTGTAAATTGCTTGTTGTTGCAGGTAATCTGGTGAGGATCTCTTCTGCCAGCTTACTTTGTCCTTTCCTGCATGTGAAACACCCCTTGTCCAGTTACATGCTATGTGTGCTGTTTCCTCGTTAGTCATTTAGTGGCCATTCTGATGTCAGTTGTGGTACTGGTCACTAGTATACTGGTGTTTAGTTAACCTTTAATTTACTTAACGATTCCAGTACATAGAATGGAATGCCGTCATTTTCTCATATGAAATTGTCCTTGCTCTGTTTTTTTAGTAGTGGTTATTGTTGGCCCCTTTAGCTTCAGTCTAGATGTTTGGCTCTATCTAGTTGGTAATATTCTAACCTAGTATTTTTCTTACTAGACAGTGATATCGGAAAGTTGTTATCATGCTTCAGAATGTCTGATAAACAAACTGAATGGATAGAAAACTGCCGAAAACAGTTTTGTAAAACAATGAAGTCCAAGCCAGATGCACTCAGTGGAGGAGGTGAGTGTGGTGTTTTCTACTAGGGATCTTCTTGCATAAAATTATTTTAACAGAAGCTGTAGCTCCTGAAGATTTCTACTGGTGTGTGCAGAAAACAGTGCTAACTGGAAAAGTCCAGTGACCCACAAAAGAATGTAATTCTGAGAGCACGAAAGGTCACAGAACTCGTCAGCCTTTTAACGACTGTGCATGTAGCAAGCAGCTCTGAGGTTCCCCTGCCTTTCCTTTGGCTGCAGTTTTTACCTGCTTTCAGCAGTCTTTGTCTTCATGCACCACATTGCTGTATCTTTGTAAAAATCCTACCATGTCACCAAGGACATAAATATCTTAAAACACCATCAGGCATCTAGGAAAACCAATTGCATGGTTCCCAAGGAAGCTCTGTCTTAAGGAAGTGTCTCTAGATTCAGACTTATCAGGTAAGATTAACTTAAGTTATTTACATGTTCTTTAGCTTCCTGAAGCTGTAACTTTAATCTTTTGCTGTTATAAATTAGATTTCCTAAACATTGAAGTTTAGAAGTGACTTAATTTCATCAGCCCTACTTAATGGTTCTCATATTTGTTACAAAATTAAAAACAGGAATTTAAAAACTAAATTTATATTTTGCTGGAAAATAGTATTTTTAGAGAATAACGAAATACTTGTGTAACAACAAAATCACAAATTATTCTCTATAGTATAAGTATAAATGAGCAGTTAAATTATGTTTAGTATCACTTAAGATTTATAAAGTATTAAAATATGTATATATATATACATATATATCTTCTTGATTATATAATAGAGAATATTTACAATAGGCTTTCTCAATGGGTTTTACACTTGCCCAAAAATACATAGCAAATTAAGAGAGGAGTGGTTTGGAATAGTTCACTTTAAATACATTTAAAAAATGTAGTTCTGGCCTCTGGGATGGTAGCACATACATATAATTCCAGCACTCGGGAGGCAGAGGCCCATGAATCTCTGTGAGTTAGAGGCTAGCCTTTTCTACAAAGCAAGTTCCAGGGCAGCCAAGGCTACATAAAGAAACACTGTCTTAAAAAACAAAATAACAACAAAAGACAGTTTGGAGTGTTTCTGCCTCACAGGGAAACAGAAGAAAAATGTCCCATGCCTAACTATTATCTTCTGAAATGGTATAGATAACCTGAGCAGTTAAGGGTTTTCTTTGGCATCTGGAGCACTGTGTCCTTCCTCAGTTATGTGTTGCTTTTTGATGCCGTGTCCACCAGTATTCTGTGAGGTACTTCCAGTCACAGACCCATTCTTCAGTACCTAATGTTTAGTTGCTTACACAAAACTCATCGGTACGCCACAGCAATTTTATTATGTAATGTATATTTTATCAATGATAAAACTAAAATTCATCATTTTAGGCAACAGCCTATTTCTTTATAGTAGAAAAGCAAGAGGTGAATCCAGGTAATCTGGTGTCAAAAGCCATGGTGTCACTTTTCATGTTATATTTTTGTACCTACCCTTTGGTCTGTTAGAGACAATATGTATCCGGTAGACACAGACAAGGAAAATACTGGCTTAATAATAAAATATGTTATATCTAAGCAATGACCTACTCAGCTTGGGTTCTGAACCCCTGACTGTTGGTGGCAAGGGAGTGAAAACAGAGAGACACACAAACACAACTGGTGGGGTTTTGCTATCTCCACAACCAGGAACCTATAGCATAGGGTGGATTAGCTAATCTTGTTAAGAAGTCCCTGTAGGTTGGTTATGAACACCCAGGAGGAGAAGGATGCAATTGCTAGTGTTTTCACAGGCTGGTCACTTGTTCATAAACACTCATACTGGGACCCTAAAGAAAGTCTGACTACCCATATGGATAACAGCTTTGACCATTTCCCAGGGTCCTTGACATTGCTGTGCCTGTGTCAACCATACTCACTCAGGACTTTCTTACTTAGGTTTTCTTCTAGTCTGTACATATATTATCTGTAATGTTTGGTGAACTAACTTTGAAGGCAAACTCATTGTAAAACATTCAACATACATCCATGCATACACAGACACACACACACACATACACAGTCTACATCTGCAGTCTTGGACAGCTTGGATTCTAATGTGAAGGATCTACAGTTATGAGATTTAAAGATTAATAAAATTAATAAATTACGCTTTGTAAATTAACCTGATCTGAGTTTTTCTTTCAGAAACTTAATCAGTGCTTCATAATTGATAAAGTCCACCCATTTGTTAACATTTTTATAAGCTTGAGAATGAATTAGTTTTAAATTTCTATATGACTACAAATGTCAAACTGAAAAAAGGGAAAGATGTAAGGAAATGTAGTTAAGACTTTGAGGATCAGCTTTTTGACTGTGTTGTTGCCACAGTGGGCAGATACTGCTCTTTTTTTAGTCATTCTGGTGGAATGGAGAAGAACCCATTAATGATTAGTATTCATGAATTTAATTAAACAATGATCAACAGAGAAAATTTCACGATATTTTGGATGTGGCCTCCTTCTGTTGTGGGTTTCCTTTTAAACATTGAGCATATGAGAGGATCGAATGAGCGTATGGGGATGAGCAGCTGTGTGTTTCTGTGCTCACAGCCTCTGGGTGAAGTGATGGTTTACAGGACCCAGAATCTTTCCTGACCCCACAGAAATGCTAATGTTTAAAACAGAGAGGTCAGATTCTTTCCCTCCTGACTTCTTTTGAATTGCTACCTTTCCATTCACAACCCAACTATTTTTTGTTTGTTCATTTTAAGGAAGAAGGAATGAGAACATGTGTTTTCCTCCATTTGTATTACCACCTCAATGCCAGGAGAAAGCACAGGAGGCACTCTACTTCACTGGTGGAATTTCATGTTGTGTTGGGTTCTAGACTTTTAATTTATTATTATACAAATCATTGCAGAATTCCTTAGGTCCTTTTCCATTTTGTTGTCAGGAAAGTCTCAGTAACTTAGCTGACTTGTGTTCTTTTGTCTTTGCTACCCTTGCTTCTGAGTATCTATCTACTGTGAGCAATCAATTTCAGAATCAACCCCAGATGTAGTAATTTCTAACCTTTGGCATCCAATATTCTAGAGTCAGCTCTCCATTAAGCACCGATTCCTCAGATTCCATGTGTGGTGCCAATTGGTTATCTGCTTCAGAGATATAGTACTCCCTGTCTTCTCACATGAAGGAAAGGGGCAATGCCACTCCTCAAAGCTCTGGTCTCCTTTAATAAGGAGAGTGCTCTCCTGACTTGCTCACTTCCCAGTCATGTCATCTCTTTTGAAATATATTTTACATACTATTTATATAACGTGCTTTGGTCAAATCTACCTCCTATTCCCCCTCCGCTAACTCCTTCCTATTTTTCATCACCACTTTTTCCTCCCAATTTCTTATGCTGGCTCTTGCCCGCTCTCTCTTGCCTTCTCCTCTCAGTCTACCCTTCCTGCCTCAGCAAAACCAACTATTGCTCCCCGGGTTGTGACTAGTTGTGCATAGCAGCCGCGGGCCTGGTGGGGGTGTAATACAGGCATGTTGTGTATAATTATCTGTGTGAGTCTGGGGGATGCTTCTATTCTGCTAAGATGGGTTTGGGAGGGGGCAAGCTCAAAGGAGAGTTGAAACAAGAACCTTTCTGTTTAGTTTCTGACTTCACTCTTTTCAAATCCATGTGTTCTTTTAGGCCTATAAATACAATAGTAGACTATGATCCTACCCCAGAGAGCAGGCAAAATTAAAGGTGGACAGGCTGTAATTTAAATCCTTTACAGAAATTTCAGGCCAGTCACTTAAGATTAATATACACTTTAGATGAAACAATATTCCATAGTTTGCTTTCAGGGCAATATTCTGTTGTTAATTTGGTTTTAACATTAAGAATTGCTTCTTGCACCCTAAATTTTAGAAACTTTCACCAATAAGCTAGAATGTTGGTTTTAGGAGGTTTTACATGTGTTGTTTCCAAAAACAAGCAAGCAAGCAAGCAAACAACAACAATAACACCTCCCCCATGGGATTTTTAAATTGTTCCCTGGGAGCTAGAGGACTACAAAGCTGAATCCTTCATCTCACTTGTTTTCTATGGTATAAAGCGATAGAGGCTTGTGCTTTTTTCTGTCTCTTTTAAATCGCCCTGTCTCAATCCAAGCCTTCCATGGTAGGTGGCAAATCTAATAACTCCCATACTATATGGGTATCAAATATCATGCTTCTGGTGTGAGTTTCAAAGCAACATGCAGACTGATGTATGAGCCAGTGTGCAGAAAGAGCAACAAAATCCCTGGTATTTGAAGGAGATGTGCTATGTTTGAATAAAGAACTCACACCAGTAATTGCTTAGCAATATGCTTTGATTTGTTCGATTATTTCAAACATTATACTTAAATACATAGCACATACAGTTATGCTCGATGAAGATAATTAAATTATAATTAAAGGTTTAATGGACATATCCATTGAAAATGATGTTTCTGAGCAATGTTTGTTACTGTGTATCTAGCACTTTACATTATTAGTCTTACCTATAAATTAAAAAATTGTATATGAACTTCATTACATTGTCCTTTCTGGGAAATGTATGTCAACAGTACGTCACCTGGGGATATTGTATGTGGATTTATAAAAGAAACATCTTTGAAGCAGTTTTAGAACTATGATAAAGTTATGCCTATATTTATAAATATAGAACCAGCCTAAGCAATTGTAAACTGAAATCAGTGTACAGAGGTATTTTTTAAGGCACATTTTTGAATCTCCATGTTTTTAAATACTTATTTTGTTTTGAATGATGAATAGGATTCAATGACTAAAAACATTTCATTTTCATCTCTAGCCATCAAGATGTTATATAGTTTGCTCTCTACAATTATTGAAAACTGTACAATTTCTTTTTATTATATGGATTTTACATTTTGAACACTAATTTTTTCTTTGAAGAATTACATGCTTAAAATACACTTGAATATAAAGGAGAACCCATGTAGTTAATAAAGGTCAGGGTTGATATTTCAAGTGCAAGAAGAACACAATTTTAAAGTGTGAAGCAACATTACTTGCCTCATCATTAAGCAGTCAGCTCCTCTACAGATATATTTCTTTAGAGAAAAGAAAACAAATTCCGCTGGGTTGCATATTAATTATAATCCCCTGGAGCCTCCATCTGTAGGATACATGCAAACACTGTGATATTATCACACCAGCCTAGAAAGGAATCATTATGTCACTTCTAAGTCATCTGGTTCCTTGAAAAGATACCATCAGCTACCAAGTATAAAAATCATGTCATAGCTTTGTGACATGAGCTGTGTGTTAATGTTGGTCTTAGAGTTCACCAGTTTTTTATGTATGCAAATGATGAGGTATAACCTAATGCAGGCATTAAAAACAATTAACAAATTCTGAAGTAATTGTTAGGTAATCTGAAGATGATAGATAAATCTTTTTTAGTTAGCTGTTGAATAAGTTCACAGCTAAGGTATTAAAATTTAACTGAAATCAGAAACATTATGAATACTAATGATAGCCTGCATAAAATTTTGAATTGAACTCAGAATGGTGGCATTCAGGTGACTTTCATGTGCTGCTCTGTGAGTTAAAGATGCATTGTCATGCGCTGTGCTTTCTTGACTTTTAAAATTCTAATTACAGCTTTAAACTTTGTTACAGCTTTAGGTGAACTACTTGAAAAATTTGTACTTCTTCTCACTGAAAACCCATCTGAATGCTACTTCCCTTCGGTGGAATACACAGGTACCATTTTAAAACACTGTAATTTTTGAACAAAATGTTCAGTTTAGAAATAGGTGCTATTTCATGGTACTGTGTAGGTAGAATACTGATATGTGCAAGTTTTCCCATCTGAAAATTTGCTCAGTTAACACCTATGTGCTCCCGATACCAATGCTCACAGCAAATTTTTGTATTTCCTTGTGATTCTGAGACTTCATTTGTTTCTGGTCTCTGCTGAAACATTTTTCTTAGGTAGCGTCACCACCCTTCTGATTTTATCATATGTCTCTTCCTAGTCTTAACTGTTCATGGCTGTCTGACTATGCTGGTCTGCTTTCCATTGCATCTTTATGACACTGGGGCAGTTATAACAAAAAGTTTATTTTGATTCATTGTTCTACCCCAACACTAAAGAAATGTTAACTTGTGATGCCTCCTTGGTCACTTCTTGGTCAGCATTTGGTCACTGTCAGTTAGGGTATGTGCATGCTATGTCTCTCATTGAATCCTTATAGCGTCCTGAAGATCTTATTTTAAAAAATAATTATTTCATGTATATGTTTGCCTACATGTATGTATGTATGTTGTGTGTGTGTTTGTGTGTGTGTGTTGTTCATGGAGACCAGAAGGAGGCACCAGGTACCCTGGAATCAGAGTTAAGGATGTTTCTAAACTACCATGGGGGTGCTAGTTAGCAGCCTATGTCCTCTGTAAGAAGAACAAGAGCTCTTAACCACTGAGCCATTTCTCCATCCTCTCCTTTTCCTTTTTTTTTTTATTGCCTTTTCATTTGGTTTATTTAAAATACTATCCATTCCATGATATAAGTATTCATGCAAAATTTTATCCCACTGTGTGAAAAGTGAACTCAAGTTTCTTAAGACCAAAAAGAAAGAGAGAAAGAGAGATCAACCCAGAGTTATAAAAAATGTAATTTTTTGAGGAACTGACAGAAGCATTGTTCTACAGGACAGCATTACAAAGCAGATCACACCCCCCAAAAATAAAGAAAAACAATGTTGGTTAAAACTCAAGATGGCTACAGTCAGGTCATGCTAAATCCATCCAGAAGAAAATGATGTTGAGGACCATAAAACAGAACAATTATACCTAGTTTCATTGCCCTCTTACAGATCTTAAAGCTAAATACTATGTATTTTCCCTTTTAAAAATACCTACTCCTTTAAGAATTTCTGCAATGTGTTTTGATTATATTGACTCCTGACACATGCTCCTCTCCTTTTAACATAGTGAGTTCAATTTGCGTTTCCCAAATACTTTACTGGGGTAGGGGGAGCTGCCCTACAGCGTTGACCTACAGGGGTTCTCACTCTTAAATAAAACTGACCCTCTTTTTTTCAGCAGCTATAAATTGTCAATAATACCTTAGCTAAAGGTAGGCCATTATGCCTCCCTCCCTGCCTCTGGGACTCTGTGAGCCTTGTGCTCTTGTAGGTCTCCTGCATGCTGCCCCAATCTCTGAGTTCATACATGCAACTTCCTCATTGTTTCTGGAGAGCACTGCTTTCTTGTAGTCATTCACTTACAGTCTTTCTGCCTCCTCTAAATTTCTGCTTCTTAAAGCTCTCATTAGGGATTAGTCTTCAAGTTTTGTTTCAGATGAGATCTAGCAGTAACATTTACCTACAGGATATGAATTAATGATTTTAAAATTTGCATCTTCTAGTCAGAGTGTTTTTTTGTTAGCTCCATAATTCTCATAATTCTAGTTGCCAAATGTGAGCTTTATCTGGATGCCTGGACACCATGATGTTCTTTAATCTCAAAGTGTCAGCAAGAACTCTTTTGCACCTACTGACATACACTCCATGTGTCCTGTCTTGGTACATCTAATAGGGAAACTGAGGAGTCAGCACTGACATTAGCCCCCCAGTACTACTCCACTGTTCTTGCTTTATCTCTACTACATCTCAAATTTATTCCAGTCTGTCCCTCACTCTTTTGATGCTAATTCAGGCTAGCATTGCCTCTTGCTTAGGGTATCGATGAACCTTTGCACATGTTTCATTTCACAGTCTGATTACTTAGCACATATTTTTTCTTGGTGTTTCTGGGGTAGTGTTTTGTTAGAGACAGAGCTTCACAGTGTAACTTAAGTTGGCCTTGAACTTATTTTCCCCTTGTCTCAGCTTCCCTACTATAATGATTAAGAGCTGCACACCCAGGAAAAATATTCTTCACACACAATAAGAATGATCCTTGTCATGCAAATCTGGACCTATTTATTCCTCTACTCCTTGATAAGTTCCCCTGACCACTGAGTAGAGTCTAAACTTATGGTGCCATAGTTTTACAATGTTTTGCTTCCTTTTTTTTTTCTGGTATAATTCCTTCCTGTCCATGACTCAGTTTTAGTTTTATTGAAAACCACTGTTAACACACTGCCGCATTTCTCATGTCCCAGATAACTGAATTTTTATTTTTTTCAGAAAACACATATGTATGTCTTAACATTTTTGTAGTCAGTCGGTATGAATGTTTTTGTGGTTTGCATTTTATAAGATTAATATGGCTTCTACATTGGAAAGATTTAAGGAGGAAAGGGAGATAAAGCAAGGAGAGCCAGATAAAGAATTAGAATGACTCAGATGATGGCACCAGTAGTGGCGGTAGGAAAAAGAATTTGTGTTCTGAGTTCATTGTGAATATGTCTAACAAGATCAAAGAATGGGTTTAATGCAGAATGTGAGAGAAAGGAGGACTTTCTTTATTGTTCTGAGCTGCTGAGGATGGAATGACTATACAGTTAAACAAAGAAGCTGTTTCTCTCTTGTGCTCATAGCAACGATGGTTGCCTGCACAAGACCTGTATATTATCAACCGAGTCAACATTGTAGCCTGAAGTGGGAAGCTGCTCATGAGCTTTTCTTCCCAACTGAAGAACCATGAACACTGATGGCTTCTAGGCAAGGTAGAATCAGTTTTCTTTAAGGGTATGACTCTTAGTAGGTCAACCAAACTCCAAAGAATGGCCCCATACCCAGAAGTTAATGGATAACGTAAATTGGAGTTTATAAGTTATTGAATAGAAAACATAACAAAATGGGAAGTTGGAGAAGGGTGGGAAGGTAAAGGTGAATTTTGGAGGAGTTAGTGGAAGAGTTGGAGGGTGATATGATAAAAATACATTGCATAAAATTTTCAAAGAAATAAAAAATATCTTCAAATGAAGAATAGGGTAGGAATCTTATGTAGGTAAGGGAAGGATTTGAAGCGAGTATTTCCTTTTATGCTGTACTTTGGGTACTTACTAGTATTCAAACAGGTAAACTCGCTGCTCACTGGATTTGGGAATTTGGATTTTAGAGGGAAGATATGTTAGAATGACTAATTTTTAAGCCATCTGCTTGGTATTAAAACCAGTAACCTAGCTCATTGTCATTTTTTTTTCTCACACTGATTCAGTGTCTGATTCTTCATGAGGCTTCAGTCTCCCCTGTGTTTTTTCATCATTGTGTCCTTTGTGTCCAAAATAACATTCATTTTTAAAATAGTTAAATATTGTGTATTACTGCTCACTTGTATCCAGACTCTCATGTTATCCCCTCCTGATTTCTATGGGATGCACTTTTCCTACCCTGTAGCATCTGCATATCAGTACACATCTTAACTGTTAAGTTTGGGTAAAGTATCAAGTTCCTTCTGTCTGCTATTACATGCTTAACTGTTTTGCTGTTGTTTTTTGTTTTGTTTTTGCCTCTGGCTAAACTTTGCTATTAGGTCTCACACTCCATTTTAAACTTTCAGGTAGCATGAGATTAAATATTCTTGTTGTTACATAGGTATCTTAAGGCTTCTGCTGGCATGATGAAACACCATGAACAAAAGCAGCTTGAGGAAGGCTTACTTATCACAGTAAGGGAAGCCAAGGAAAGAACTCAGACCAGGTAGAAGCCTAGAGGCAGGAGCTGATGCAGAGGCCATGGAGGGATGCTGCTTACTGACTTGTTCCCCACAGCATTCTCAGCCTGCTTCCTTATAACACCCAGGACCACCAGTCATGGGGTGGCTGCAACCACAACAGACTCTGCCCTCCCATATCACTAAGAAAATGCCCCCCAGGCTTGCCCACAGCCCAGTTTCACAGAAGCATTTTCTAAATTGAGGTATTCCTCTCTCCAGATGACTATAGTTTGTGTCAAGCTGACATAAAACTAGCCAGCACAATAAGCATCTCTATTCTCATGAATTTAATTACATAACAAGTCCAAATAGACTGATACTGAAAAACACACAGGTGACTCTGTAATGATTGTTTACATCTAGCAACACCCAATGTCAAGCTGGGAAAAAAGTAAAAGAAGCTGTAAGAGAATGAAAAGAGATCTGTGAAACTTAAGGCAGGTGAAGGGAACTGGTATCTTAGATAAGTACTGAGGTTCTTCTCACACGATGCCACACAGCCCTCTAACACCTCTCTGAAGAGGAAAAACTGTTAAAACCCTCTGTCAGATAAAGGGTTAGTGAAGATTCTTTCCCAATCTGTAGGCAGTCGTTTTGTTTTGATGACGGTGTCCTTTGCTTTACAGAAGCTTTTCAGTTTCATGAGGTCCCATTTATTGATTGTTGCTCTTAGAGCCTGTGCTGTTGGTGTTCTGTTCAGGAAGTTGTCCCCTGTGCCAATGAGTTCTACGGCATCCCTCACTTTTTTTCTAGCCGATTTAATGTGTCTGGTTTTATGTTGAGGTCTTTGGTCCACTTGGACTTCAGTTTTGTGCAGGGTGATAAGTACGGATCTATTTTCATTTTTCTACATGTAGACATCCAGTTGGACCAGCACCATTTGTTGAAGATGCTATCTTTTTTCCATTGTATGGTTTTGGCATCTTTGTCAAAAATCAGGTGTCCATAAGTGTGTGGGTTTATTTCTGGGTCTTCTGTTCAGTTCCATTGATCCACCATTCTGTTTCTATGCCAGTACCATGCAGTTTTTATAACTGTTGCTCTATAGTACAGCTTAAGATCAGGGATGGAGATACCTCCAGAAGATCTTTTGTTGT